TGGAGTTGCTGGGATTGAGGTGTGAGCCACCACACCCTGCCCTATAGTTTATTTATATATGCACATTATGTGATTTTTTAAAGTATTCATTCTGCACTGCCTCCTGTTACCCATCCCTCCACTCTGCCTCTCAATCTCATTCTTCTGTATTACTATTGTAGAAGTTAATTTTCTTACCAAGTTTTTTCTCCTTAGAATGAGTCATTTTCTAATACAATTTTTTTTTATTGTATGGATTTCTTATTTGGGTGCCATTTAAAGTCTGAAGAAGCCACAATGATGATCTTTTGTTATTGTGTTTGTATAAACATATTTGCTTCATTTCCATGTAAAGCTTTCCTATAAAATTAAACTATAAATGTATAAATGCACTTGAAAAAGAATAAAACAATGCTTATTGTTCAATGTGCTTCCAATATTCCTTTGTTATTTTGTGTTTTTTTTAATGTGTGCTTTCTGGATGAGTCACTTTAATGGTGTGCTGTCCAGCTGATACTAATTCTTCAACTAAAAATATTCAGTTAAGGAACATTACAGAGTTATTTTAATCATGTTTGGGTCTGCTCATATTTAGAGTTTCCAGAGTAAATTTTTATGTGACCTTTCTTAGAGCAAAGATGTAAGAAGTGCTCTGTTACAAATCAGTAGTTAAAATTAATAGAAGTATTTAATTCTGAGAAAAAATCCACAAGATAATTGAAAAGCTTTTATATTTACATAAAATTATGCATTTTGAAATGAGCTAGAGAATGTCAGCAGAGAACTGATTTTTTCCTTAAATTTATATTAGTTTTCTTACATACTATGTAATTGAAGAGTCATTTTATTCAAAGTCTCACTTAAAATATGTGTCTTTTTCTTTTTCTTTCTTAAAATCATGAATTAGCAAAATTTTATCACTTAAAATGTTTTGAGTGATGACCAGGCCACTGTCATATTTCCTCAAAGTCAGGAAAATGTGCATGTATATTTTTCAACTGAAACAAGTAGGTAAGAGAATGACTAATGTTAAAAGATTATTTATAGAGTACATGAAAGAAAGTTATAATAGAAAAACCAATAGCTATAATTTAATTTTTAGTGTTACAATTCAAATTCAGTAATTCAATAGTAGATGTAAAAATGAAATCAGAGAAAAAAATTAAAGTGCCACCAGACTGACTAATCAGTCATTGAAAATGCCTATAGTGGGAATTTACTCAGATATAAAATGTTTGCACTGTCATTAAGTACTCCCTAATTTATATTAGCGAACGAATATAATGACAGACACAAAAATATACTCCGAGGCTGTGGCTGTGCAGAAGACAAGCATTCCTAACCCACACTTTTGTTTAAATATCCCTGTGGCTCCGAGTACCTTCATCTCTCTGCCACCTTCAGTAAAATATTTCTGTCTCTCTCTATTTCTCTTTATACATATAGACACACCCTGCTAATAACTATGAAGTGTTAGGTGGACTGATTAAATAGTTAAGCATAACTTTCTTTGACTCCCTCTTAAAATTGAGGCAAATGCATCTAAGGCAAGTCATCAGGCTGGTAAACACATATTAATTCTTTTCTAATACTTTTTAAAATTTTTGTCTGTTTTCTTTTAGACAAATTTAGAAAGCCAAAATAACTATGTTATAAGTGTCTCCATGGAAATATAGACTATTGTATAGATTTCAGTTTCCAGAAATCATCTTTCAATTTGAAACTTACTACTATTTCAAACAGATTTGCTATTTCTTAGTATAATTGTCACTGGTTCCCAAACCTAAAATTCCACATACCTTCTAAAATATATGAACAGAAAATACAATCTAAGTTTCTTTCTCTTGATTAGAAAGAAGATCAATATTAAATGAAATCAGACCCTAGTAGAGGTAGCAGTAAATAAGTCTGGTTTAGTTTTGTTGTTTCCTTCTGCTTTTTTTCTTTCTTTTTGTTTTCCTCTTTCTCTGATTCTTCTTCATTATTTTTATCCTCCTTATCCTCTTCCTTTTTTTGTTTATTGCATCTCAGTTGTTTAATTCTTGTTGGCACATACACAGAATTTTTATGTTGGAAAGGAGGATATAGACGGGAAGGTAATGAAATATGAAAGGAGTATTTATGGATTAACGTGTTATACATCATATATAATGATAGATACTTTACATTTATTAAAGCATTTAACTTGAATGACTGGCATTTATTTAAGGAGAGTATTATCATCTGAATTTTGCAAATATAGGAAATGAAGGTCCAGAAAAGCTAATCCATAGGCTTATAATTGGTATGGCTAATAATTGGTATGGCTGAGATTTAGAATGTACGTCTGTCCGGTTCCTAAGACCATTGTTGCTGCATCCAGTTCTCCACAGCTGTGTGTAAAAGTAATACGGCTTTGTGCCATGAGTGATAAAAAGTACAGATTTTATTTTAATATATTATTGTGTAAAAATTTAAGTAATTAATTATTTCATATCATGGGAAGACTAATTGAAGGAACTGGTTTACCTGAGTAGATTAAAAAGATGCATCTAATCCATTTTTCATAAAACAGAGTAGACTTGATCAGTGCAGGCAAAATTATTGCTAATGGGTATGAGTTCAGGTAGGCTGGTTTTGAGTCTTAAGTAAATTTAAAAAATTTCTAACAATTTCAACTGTCAAAAAAAGGAATAAGCCACTTAGGATATAAGGAATACTCTGTTCAAGGTCCAGAGTATGCATCATCATAGATTTACTGGGCACCCTTTCTTTGACATGCCCCCACCACCAGGCTATTTGCTCCCCAGCCAGAGCAAGAAATTAACACCCTTTAAAACAGAATTACTGTCATGAAGGAACTGGCAGGTGAATGAACTGCTCACTCCCTCTGTCTAACTCTTTAAATTATATGTGCTTTATCTGGAGACTAACTATATAATTTGTGAGGCCCAGGGTAAAATGAAAATGTGGAGCTCTACTGCAGAGGTTACTTACTGGGCTGAGGCTATAGCTCAGTTGGTAGAGTGCTTTCCTTGCATATACAAGGCCCTGGGTTCAATACCTGGCACCACACAGAACAAAAAAAAAAAAGGAAAGAAAAGAAAAATTTACGTATTTAGAATTATTTAAATTTTATTTGTAATGGTAACTTTCAGGAAAAAATAAAGACCCACAAGAAAACACTTATATCTGAACATTTTCTGTTGGTTTGATGAAGAATATTGAATCCCAAACCCTGATAGGAGAAAAACACATAGGAGCTCATTGGAATGAGGGAACTTTTGAACAAGGCTCAGTTGTTCAGAGTTTTCTGTCTCATCTTCAGAGATTAGAAGGGTTTTTTTTCTCTGGGTTTAAGAAGGATACTTCCCACATGAGAATCTTATGACCTCTTTCAAGGACCATCTAAGTCTCTCCTATACATGTCATTTCTCAAATTCCTTTAGCTTAAAATACTCAGTATGACAAGGTGCAATATTTTGTGATAGCCTGCCTCGAAACCCTTCACATCCGTGTAACATGAATGACACAAGCAACTGTTCAATTTCATATGTTTAGTTTCAAGTAAGTGGGGAAGAACAATTTTACAGAGTTATAGAGAATGTACCAGTAAAACCTAAGGGGAAAAAATTCTATTTTAAAGTTAGGAAGAATGTTTTCCTTCCCAGCAAACTCATTCTTTAAATAAATGAGTAGTGATTGCTGAATCATTAGCAAATTTTGGGCAAGACAAAACTCTTATATTCTCCAATAAGAATGATTTCCAAGCTTGTCAGATCTAAACAAATGGAACTAACTTGGACAGAGCTATTTAATTGACAGATTAATAGAAAAAAATAGTCTAAACTATTGGTATTTGATTTTCAGTCTCTTGAACTTCCATGTGTATCTAAGGTGATTTCTCCTTGTTGAGTATGAAAGTGTGTGTGTGTCAGCGTGATGAATTTGTATCAGAACAGTCTGGTTGAAATTTGTCAGTAGGTCAATTTTTTTCAATCTCTTAAATTTTTCATTGTAATGCTGCTGTGTCTCTGAATGAAACAAAATTTACTTTAAAAATAATTATATAATATTTTTCTATTTCTGCTTCACAGTCTTTAATGAAAAGAACAGGGCTCAGCAGCCAGGACTTAAAATCCAGTGTCACAGGCTGCCTACCTGTGGAGTTGTAATGCTTACCTTGTCTCTTTAACTAGAATGTTGTATCCTTCTGATGATAGTGATACAGATGTCTTTGTACATAGTTGGCAGTCATGCTGTATCTATAAAACAGTTAAATTTTTTTTTAAGTACCTCTGTGAAAAGAAGGCATCATGAGAGATCTGAAAAGTATGCAGTTTGAACACAATACTTAAAATTATTAGTTGTCAATGAGAGAAAAAGAGAAGTGCAGAGAATGTTAGGGGTAATTAAGGCAACTAATGATAGTGTTTGAGGCATGCCGAAGCTTTGTGGGTGTGTATGTGCATGTGTGTTCACTGGGGTTTGCTCTAAATTTTCTTTCTATATCAACAACTATTTTTCACATCTCTGTTGAGTACGAGAATGACTGAAGATGGAAACTTTTACTACAGGTGTTAGTTTATAAAAATCAGCATATTTCAACAAAAGAGGAATATTTGATTCTTTTATAAAATTTCACCTTAAATCATTTATAGAGTGAAGAACATGCATTAATAAGATAAGGTCTTTTTGAACCTTAGTTTCTCTTTAATCTTCAAATTAGATTTTAAAGAATGGAATACTAGAGATTTCTTCAATAAATTTAAATGGAAATGGATTCATTGAACTAATGGCTGAGTAAAATGGTGACATTGTCATATTAAACATGATGTTTTTTTTATATTACACATTTTCATTTATTTCATGGAGAGTAGAAATTTTATGAGCAGTAATTCGGAAAAATGTGAGTTGACTTTATGTAACTGTTCTCCCTGTTAAAACAACACTTTAAAACAGTACTTTAAATGATATTGGTTTTAGTTATTTTGTGGAACACCTGGTAAAATATTCTAAACCTTTTGCACCTTGTTATTTAGTTTCAGCTCAAAATCTTAAGAGCAACCTTGCAGCAATGGAACAACAAATTGTTCATCTGGAACGTGACATCAAGAAAGTTCCCCAAGCAGAAAATCAACATGATAAGTTTGTTGAAAAGATGTCGATATCCTTTATTTATTTAAGTATTTTGTTTATTTGTTAGTCTGTGTCTGTCTATTTACCATGTGGTTAATTCTAGACTCCATGGTCTCTAACACTGTCTGGATGAATTTGTGTGTATGCTGTTTTTATATTAGCTGCATAAATTTTGTTTCATGGTGCTTGGAAACAGGTAGAGTATAAGCAAGGGAATGATTAGACCTGAAAATTGCCATTTCTCAAAGAAGAATTTCATTTGAAAGCCCATAAGATATGCAAGGTAAGTCTTATGAGGCTTGATTAGACCTAAAACAAAACAAAAGAAAAGAAAGAATCTTCTTATGTAATCAAGAGCATAAAAGAGGTGATGGATATTAATTTTTTTTGGTCTGAGATTTTCATTTTCTTTTTGCATTTGTGCATTCATTTTTTGAGGACACGTGTGTATTTTCTGATGGCATTTGTATGTTTTGGAGGACAATTGGAAGATGACTAATATCAGTAGACTAAGAGGATTATGAAATACAAATAGATGCATGCATGAATAGATGAATTGATCAGTAGGTGATATATTTAAATTATAATTTATATTTGTATATACATATAAATGTAAAACATTAAGCATTTCTGGCTAAAATATTTTTCAAACTCCTATTTTATATGTGGTATACTCATAAATTTTAGAAATATATGAAAGGAGAACTTGAGAAATAGCATTTAGCTTGAATTGTTTAATGTTAAAGCTGGTGTCTAAAGATAAACTACATAAGAGCTGAGTTTTTTTTTTTTTTTCTATTTTGGTTTTCAAAGTTAAAGCCATATCCTCCTCCTCTGGGTTTAAATAAATATCTTGAACTGCAGATTGATTCACCATTTTATATCTCTAGAGGGAATAAATACTGTAAATTCTTTATCTGATATTAATTCCTTCTACAACTACATGGGAGTCACCTTGTTTCAAGGTTAAAATATTGCCTTTTCTTCTCTTATATACTTTCTTTCCTTTCCAACTTGGATGTCTTGGTTCTGAACCCAAATTATTTGAGCATGACAATTTAGACTTATGTTGAAAGTTCTTTTTTGTTCTTACTGTTTTTGTTCATGAATTAACACTGTGTTTTATGTTTTCTTTTAATTATGCTGAGTACTTTTATAACTAGGAATATTGGAAGCATAATCTCACAAGTGTTTGGAGATAGGTAATCCTCAAAATTAACCTTGGATTACATAACTGGCTACATTCAGATACTTACCATGAGGGTTTCACTGTATCGCTGATTAGATCATTTTCATTCAGATATAATATATTGTCCTGTCACTGGAAACACAACTTTCTTTTTTCACCTTTTGATTTTGGTTCTTGCCTCATACATTTGAATTTAATTCCTGATCCCCTCATTCATTTGAACAGTTTCTTCTGTAGTTGGCTTATGGCCACACAACAGCTTGCAACATTGAGTTTCTGTTGCTCATTTAGAAAAAGAAAAGTAATTTCAAACCCTCATGAACTTGGCCTGGACTCTTTATTTTATTTCTGTCTTCGTGCAGGTAATTAAGCACTTTTAAATGAAAATCCAGAGCATTCTGTATCTGTATGTTACAGATGAATGGCTATTCTTTATTTAAGTGGCACTAAAGTGTGACTGTTTGCCCACAAGGGGATTGAAAACTATATTAAAATGTAAGGGGCTGTTACTTTGCATATCATATTTAAGAAAACAAAATAAAATATACAGAAGTTTATTTCAGAGAAAAAGAATATTGAGTTAGTTAAAAACTAATTAATTACAGCAGTAAAACTATTGTAGAGATTATTATTCTTGTGTAAGACTCCTTTAGTATTTATCGAGAGTTTCAGTCTTCCAGAAAGAGGCAGACAAAATGCATGATCATCATGTATACATTATGTGAGATCCGATGCCTGCTTTATATTTTTGTACCCTTCTGGACATATAAAAAGGAGAAGAAATTTTTGATTGTGTGATAATTGATCCTGTTTTAAAATCAGAATCATGCTTTCATTTTTATTATAGGATTCTTTGTACTAGATGATCTTCCAGTGTTTCTGTCCCCTGTCAAAAATTGCTTTGCTTTAGGCACTGGCACTTTAAACTGAATTACTATGGGCACAGTATGACAGTAGTTTGTCTTAAAATCACCTTTCCTACTACATGCTAATATTTCTATATGGACTGTGAATTCAGAAACTGAATAGGATTCTCTACCGTTTTGGACTTTGAGAACAGGAACAGGGCTATGGTAAGCAGCAATGGCATGATGGCCACAGAGCAACTAAATAGGTACATTGAATCTTTTTGCCTAATCCTTAGATTGGTCTATGTAAGACAGCACCTTTTGTTCACCTTACTCTTTCATAGTATCCACCAAAGCTTACAGTTAGTGTTCAATGGTTTATTGCTGAGCAAAGAAAATGTAGCAGTGCACAAAGTAGAAACTTGACCTTAAGCTGCTGACAGTCTGGCACTTACATCATTTTTGCTGTCCCCATCACAGAGATCATATCTGGTTTATTAATTACCATGTACTCATAATAATGCCCACCACCTTGCCTAGTGTAGGCATTTAGTAAATGTCTGTTAAATCACAGAATTCTGTAGGTACAGACAATGGTGATCACCATAGTGAAGCATCTACTTTTACTTCACATATCAACAGGGATATTGTCAAGCAGTGGCAGGTTGTGCTAATAGTAATAAAAATTTTCATCATAGACGTGTACAGTGGCATATACCTGTAATCCCAGTGACTTGGAAGGATGAGGCAGGAGGATTGCAAGTTCAAGGCCAGCCTTAGATCTTAGCGAGACCATAAGCAACTTAGTAAGGCCCTGTCTCAAAATAAAAACATTATATTAAAAAGGCTGTTTTTATAGCTCAGTGTAAAGCATCCCTAGGTTTAATCCCATAACCCCCCAATTATTTCAATCATATAAGTCTTCTCAGGAACTTGAGTAACATTAAATCACCTTTTTAGAGTATGCCTGTAAAAAGGTATAATAAGTTTTAGAAGTGATGGTTCATGCCTTTTAAGGTAAATGTCAAAAAAATTGACCAAAAAAGAGAAATACTCTCCTGTAAAAAGAGTTGCCTGGCTTCTTTCAGCCTTCTGATGCCAGTGATTTTAGAAGGAAACACATCACCTTTGTCTCCCTTTTCTATCCAAAATTGGTTGCTTTTCTGAGTCAGAAGAAAATAGATAGTGTGGGGAAGAAAAGATTCCTTCTCTTACCCATTGCAAGGTTCATGGCTGAAACCTCTATAAGAAAAGACATTATCAACAAAAGAAAAGCACACACATTTATTTAATGCAAGTTTTTATAACACAAGAGCCTTCATATATGAAGAGCCAAAGAAACAAGTAATACTGTATTTTTATGAATTGTTGTGATCATAAGACAGAGGAGTATGATGTAATTATAATAAACTGGGATGGGCTGCAGAGGACAACTGAACAAGGTCTGTTTGTTCAGATACTTGACTTCTCTATGCAACATTGCTTTCTTCTGGGTATGGGGCAGGATACCTGTTCCATGACAGAGGAAGGAGGAAGAAGGTCAGACAATGACCCTTCCTAGGTTTTATAGCCTACTTCTCTGAATAAGAGGCAAGAAGAATTCTAGTTTCTGTGAACTCCTTCAGAAGAGAAGGGTAACAGGTTAGGAGAACTTTCTGCTTCTGACATGTACCTCTGTTTCCTTCAGCTTAAAACACTATGTAGGCCAAGTGATATGGTTTGAATATATCCTCTTTAAAATTTGTGTTGAAATCTAATGTGCAGGTTATCAATAAAAAGAGGCAGGGGTTTTCAGGAGATGATTAGGCAATGTAAGTTCTGCTCTGATGGATGGAATTAGTGCCTTATAAAAAGGCTAGAAAGAAAGAGTCCAGCTTCCTCTTTTGCCCTTTCTGCCATGTGAGGATACAGCAAAGAGGCACAAGCTGCCCCGACCAGATATTGAATCTGCTAGTGCCTGATCCTGGACTTCTAGAACCCTGAGAAATTACTGTTACTTATAAATTACCCAGACTAAGGTACTTTCTTATAGCAGCAGGAACAAATATGTCCACATGCCATATTTGGAGGTAGCATTTCCTGCACCCCATGGAAGAACAAAGCAAACTAACCTGATTAGATTATAAAACAGGAAGAAAGTCAGGAAATTCTCTCATACAACATAGGTGAGACGTTCTAGAAGTAAAAAGGGTGATCTTGATAACCACATGGAGAAAATAGTAGTTATCCTGATATTTTTTTTTCATGAAACAGTATTCTTGGTACAGATACTCCCAACTTTAGACAAGGTTATGTCCCAATAAACCCATAAAATATCAAAAGTTGAAAATGCATTTAATATACTTGACCAACCAAACAGATACCTTAACTGTGCTGACCTCAATCATGGTCAGAATACTTACATTAGCCTATAGTTGGGCAAAATCATCTAACAATAAGCCTATTTTCTAATAACGTGTTGAATACCTCATGTTATTTATCAAATACCTGTAACAAATAAACAAACAAACAAACAAACAACAACAACAACAAAAACCTCTGGTGACCTAGTACACTATAGAGTATTGGTTGTTCACTCTTCTTATTGCCTGGCTCATTGAGAGCTGGGGCTGGTTGTAGTTATCCAGCATTTCAAGGGGGTATATTACAGAATATTTCTAGCTTGGGCAAAGATTTTAAAAACATTCAAAGTAAACTTTCTATTCAATGCATATTAGCATACACACTTAAGTGCCACCATAAAGTTGAAAAATAACAAGTCAAATTCTAAGTCAGAGACCATCAATATTCTTTATATTAACATGCTCATAACAATCCTAGTATTGGAAGGTTTTAGCTCAATTGTTTGCTCAGTGAATTGAAATAAAATCTTTACTAGTCTTTAGTAAATGCTATAGATATTCATTTATCAAATATTTATTATGTATCACATATTGTCTAAAGTTACCTTCGTGAACTTTCCAAAAAATGTTCTCATTATTAAATGAGGAATATTTTCCATTTCTGATGATAACATCAACCAGTTGTCCC